AAATTATAATTTTATAATGAATTAATCAATACTCCAATCGATTACATAAATTACAGTATGTGAGTATAAATTTCAATAATATTTCTTTACTTATTATTTATTATAGATTAATCAATACCACAATCGATTACATAAATTATTAATATTCAAATTATTTTAAATACTCCAATAAATTGCTAGGGGGTGAGTATATAATTCAACAATATATTAATTGCATAAAAATTAATAATTAATTACATAAATTGCTAGAAAGTAAGTAATGTTTCAATTTATTTACTAAATTTAATTATTAGAGTATAATTTAATTATATGTTTTCTAGATCGTAAGTATAGATTTAATTAATATTTATCGTTTAAATTTTTATGTTTATAAATAATTAATTATACAAAATATCAGAAAGTAAATATAAAATATATTATTTATTAAATTTTAATTTTGTTGTAAATAATAATAATAATTGGTATTTATTACTAGGAAGTAAGTATAAAATTTTAATAAGATTATTATGCCCAATATATAATTAAATTAAAATTTAAATTAATTGTAAGGGAGTAAGTTTAAATTTAACTTCTTTCTAAATATTAATTCAATAAACAATTAATTATATTTATTCTTAGGTTGTAAGTACAAATTTAATAATACATTATTATTATATTTGAATCTAATTATAAAATTTTCAATTAATTGCATAAAATACAAATACATAGTTTGTGGGTATAAATTTTAATAAATTATATATCAAATTTTATAATAAATTATAATGCTCTAAATGATTGTATAAATTACCAGAAAGTGCGTATATTTCAACAATATTAATTATTAAATCAGAATTTTACGATGAATCAATAATATTCTAATCAATTATATAAATTTAGAAAGTGAATAAACCTTTTTTATTAATGAAATATTTATTCGGTTGGAATTTTTAATTAATTAATCAATATATCCCAAACATTTTAATTAATATCCAGGAAGTGAGTATAAATTTTATAATTTCAGCAAGATTTATTTATTAGATAAGAATTTTATAAAGAATACTTAAATCAAATAAATTATAGAAAGTAAGTATAAAATTATTTAATAAAAGTTAATTATTAATTTAATTATTAAACTTTACGAACTCTAATTAATTACATAAATTATAGAACGTAAGTATAAATTTTATCAGTAATGAATTGCTATTAACGCCTAGTAAAATATTCTCTGTTGATGATTGGCAAATGAAGAAACCTATGATGAATGATAAAAACCGATGAAACCTATAACTATTGTTCTTTTTTTTTAATATGTAGCTAACAAAGAAAACAAAAATTTACTAAGACGAAATATGAAAGGTCGAGTTTAACATCGATTTCCTGATATTTTAGAATTTATCATAAATTATCAAATTAAATATGATAAATTCTAAAATATCACATATTGATGTGATAAACTCGAATTATTCAAACCTCTAAGGATATTGAAATATTTGAAGTGGCTATGCCCTATTAATTCACAAGAAATAAATGATTCTATTAAGCTGAATCGCATTTAGAAAAATTTATTCGGTCAGGAATTTTACATACCAAGAACAAATGATGTAAAAAAATTCGCAGTAGATAATCATGCTCATCAATTTATCTAGCAAAAATTCGCATTACTTAAAGTTATATGAGGTTTGATTTTTAAATAAATCAATGCATATTAAGTAAACTTGTATGAAGTAGTGTCTACTAGATAGAAATTATACTGCTTCAAACTCGGTTGATCGACTATATGAGAAGTTAACAGAATCCAGGCAAATTGCTTTTACTAAAAATTTTTTTTGAACTTTAAACTTATTTTAATTTTACATACTTGTAGGATTAAAAGAAATATTAAATTATCAAAATTGATTAAGTTTTTGTTAAGTGTTCTCAGAGTTCTTATGAGAACACAAATTTGTGAGTGAGAACAGCTAAAAGCTGAAAATTTAAAATTTTTATATTGAGAACACCTAAAAATTGACTCTAAAAATACTAAATATAAGGTGAGAACAATATCCCAGTCTCAGATTTTGAACACTGCTGTTGACTCCTCCCATACAGTAAAAATTTATCATCTTATTTTTGATAATTAGTTAATTTATTTGTAAATGATTGTAACTAAACATTTGCGTTTTGAGTACTGTCAAGTGAAATTAAGACTCAGTTCCTGAAAAAAACCTAATAAGTGATATATGTTACATAATCAATTTTCAATTACATATCATATATCGCTTATCAGATTTTTAGGAGCCAAATTCCATTTTCCATTTGCAGCACTCATCTCTTATTTGTTAAAGGTTTCATCAATTGTCAAGGTTTCATCATATGCCGCATGAGGCGAAATATTTCATCATAAATTATTTTGCATTTATTAAGAATTTCATAACAAATCAAATATTGCTTCTATCAATTATATAAATTACAGATAGTTAGTATAAATTTAATAAGTATTTATTTGTTGAACCCAAATTTTAATTAATCAAAATCGTATAAATTACAGCACGTAAGTATAAATTTCAAAGTTATTTATTTCATAAACTTAACTTATAATGAATTACTAAATTACGAATCTAATAATTGTCTATCGTAGGCGATAATCGCAGCTGAAGAATTTGAAATACAAGAAAATATTCAAAAACAATTAGAAAATGCAATAATCAAAGTGAAAAAATCACCAGAGATGATGACAACCAATGTGAAGGAATTCCCGGAAATATTAGAGTATCAAAAATATCTTCAACAACTTAAAGATTTTGATAATAATCTTTTAAAATACAAAGATTTTAATATGACTAATTTGGTGTTTGATATTATTTTCAGTTTAGCTAATTCAAAAACTGAAATCTTCTCATTTATTGAAAAATTTTATAATACTGATTTAGAAAATGAAACTAATTCATTTGATGAAATCGATAAATATTTAAAATCTTTACCTGAATGGAGTAATTATTGTACTGAGATTACTAACCAATTTGAAGATCTTAATAATCTTGTTAATAATATATTAGATAGTGTCTTTATTTTTGAGATGCAAGAAAAATTATTAACTAAAATGGATAACATCAGAAAAGAATTATGCAATCAGTCAGAAAAAATTGATAAATATAAATCAAAGAAAATTAAGAAAATTAATATATTTACAGATTATGAAAAGGTAAAGAATTTTAATAATTATTTTTGATAATAAATTATACTTATATAATTTTTATTTTAGAAAATAAATCAAGAAAACGAAGCGATATATTTAAATTTTATTCGTATCATTGAGTTAAAATTAGTATATGATTCAATTACTGAATTGAAAACTTTATTAAAGAGATTAAAACTTTTGGATTCTCAAAAAATATTAGGTATTTTTTGCTATTTATATTTTAATAATAAAAAATTTTTATTTAAATTTTTATTTATTACAGATTTTTGGAAACAACTTAATTATAAGTTAAAACTAATTCAATATTCAGTAGAGGTTTTTAAAACAAGTGAATTATTTATAAAAAATAGTTGCCCTGATTATATAGTAGAAAATTTGTCAAAAATAGGTTGTTTAGTTAATAATTTTTGTAAACAAATTGTAGTCGAAAAATTGTAAAAAATTTAAAAGGCAAAAGATATACAAATTATGCCGTATCATTTAAATATATCTATTTTTAAAGTTTATTTTACTAGAAATAGTTTGATAAAACTTAATTGATTATTTCGAAATATTACCATAATAGTAAAGTAAAATTATTTATATCCAACAACTCAGGATATAACCGATTTATCTGCTGCTATCTACATGACTGTCTAAGACCTTCTCTCTTTAATAAAGAGCAAAATATGATTAGAAAATTTTTTTAATATTTACCTACTAGTATTTTTTAATTGCAATTGTATTAAATATTTAATTTTTAAGGAATTTGGATTTAAATTTGCTTCAGAACTAATTACAAAAATAGATCCAGTAATTTGAACATTAAATAAGCTAAAAGAATTAAGTTCAAATTTCTATTGCTGATGTAATTTATTTATTTTTATTTATTATATAAACTAACTACTGTATATTTTTTTCTAAGCTGAATTGGTACTGAGCAAAATATAACTATTGAACCTTCTAAAAAATTATTTAACGAAGCAACCAATAATATTATATCAACTAAGAAACAGTCTAGTGAATATCAACTTGGTGAAAAAAAAGGTAAAATTTATTGCTGCGCTTTTCAAATTACTGTGATCAGTGATTTTCATACATCACACCAGAAATCAGAGATCTAGAAAAATGCAAATCTGTGATTGGTTAGAAATAATTTCTAACCAATCACAGATTTGCATTTTTTCTAGATCTCTGATTTCTGATGTGATGTATGAAAATCACTGATCACAGTAATTTGAAAAGCGCAGTAAGTGTAAAAACATTACCATTAATTTTTAATAATTAAACTATGTTAAATTTGTATAATAAAGAGTTTCTAAATTAAAAATCAGACATCAGAAATAAGTGATGTATTTGTTTCAAAATAAACGATTTATAAATTATTTTATGTGTAACTTATTTATTCAAAGAAGCTTTTAACCTCTACTTATTTTGAAAATAAGTTAATTTTGAAACTCCTAAATAAGTGATTTATTTATTTTAACATTTTAAATTCATATACTATGTATTTCGTTTATACTGTATAAAGAATGCTTATAGTTGCCGGGGTAATTACTGAATTACGGCAAAATGCCGTAATGCAGTAAATACATTTTCAGAATATCTGAATACCGTAATGCTATAATGCTATATGCCGTAATACCGTAATGCCGTAATACCTTAATGCCATAATATTCATAGCTAAACTAATATAAATATTCTTGAGTTTATAATTTTTAATAATCCAAGTTTCAATTAAAATAAACATATTGATATTTAATAATATATTGATATATTTAAATATTTAAAATAAAATAAACATAAAAAAAAATTTAAAATAAAAAAAACATAAAAAAATTTAAAGAAAATTAAAAAAATTTAAAATAAAAAATAAATAAAAATAAAAATAAAAAAACTCTCTTCTGTTCCTTCTGACTGAGAGACTGAACATAACAAAATAACAAAAAAATACACAGAAAATTTTTTAGATACTAACAGGGCTAAAGTCCCTAAAGTTAGAAAGAGAAAACTACTCATGAGCACTATGGGTGCCAACAAAAACAAAAGAACTAAGCTCTCAGACAATAAGAAAATTTTCGACCTTTCATCGCTCCCAGAAGAAGAAAATAAAAAAAACATACTAAGTTCCTCAAACAACAAAAACACCACCACTTCTGAGCAAAAAGTCAACAACTGAGCAGACAAAGTCAACACAAAAATGCTTGACAAAGACAAAAACAAGCAAATAGACTATGCAGAGGTCTCTTCAAGCAAAAACAATGAAAGCTCTACCTCTTTTCTGGAAAAAGAAATAACAAAACAATATGTGAATTATGATGTAAACAAAAGTCACATGAGGGAGCCAATCAGCTCTAGTGCAGAAACTATAACTAAAACTAAGCTACTTGACTTTACAGATAGCCCTGAAACTAACAGTCTCGATCAATCCAAACCTAAATGATGGTCAGACCTGTTTACCAAATTCAGAGGTAGCAAAGTCACTTACAAACAAGAGGTTCCCAAAAACAAGATCCTCTCCAAAAATGAAAATGCCTTGGTCTTCAACATCCAAAGCCTAAACAACATATCTACAAACGATATCATTCTATCCTTAGCAAATTCCCTTGATAAAGACCTCCTAGCTGCCAAACCTCATTTTAGTAGAGGTAAAAGAGCCTACCTAGAAGTAGTTTTCAAAAATAAAGCTCAACAGCAGCACTATGCAACAGAAGGAATTAATATATTCAAGCAAATGATTTTTGGATATATTTCTATTAACTTAAAGAGAAGCTTTCTCTCTGTTAAGGTTAGAAACACACCTTTAGGAAACAAAGAACAGACTAATAAACTCCTCTTAGAAACTTTTCAAAATTTTGGAATTATTTCTTCAGTCAAGCCTCTACTCTTTGAGGGAACCTCAGTTTGCTCAGACCAGTGGATTGTCTCATTCAAGACAATCGAAGACTCAGACCTTTCTAAAAGGCTCCCAAGAACCACATATGTTGGTGACCACAAAGTTAGCACTGAATGGAGAGAAGCCTCAAAAATATGCTATTACTGTAAAAAAGAAGGCCATGTAAAGAAAGATTATGAAGAATTAAAAGATGCAATTGCTTTATGTGCACACTACAAAGAATTAAAATTACAAAAAGAAAAAAACCACACTCACGCTGAGACTCAGCCAGAACTTAGCTCAGATAACTCCTATGTTTAAGCTCAGACTAAACAAGAATTGCAACCCTCAGCAACTAAAGAGGAAATCTCTATTCCACTAACAAAGATAGCTAATGAAAAAAGAAACTCTCTAAACCAAGATTATACCACAGGAAAAGTAGAGAACAACAACTCAAATCTAGTACAAAAGACAAACACCTTATCTTCTGATTCAAAACTCTCTGAACCAAAAGGCAAAACTGTAATAGCAGATACACAGAAAAACAAAAAAAGGAAGAACAAGAAAGGAACACATGAGAATAATATAGTAATGACAGAGGCAACCACCTCTGGACAAGGCTCCTCTTCTCATTAGGTCATCTTATAATCAACAATAACAACCCAAAAACAATCTCATTCAATTATGAAAAAAATTACAATCACAACTCTCAATGTAAAAGGCCTAAACAACAAGGCCAAAGTACACAAAACTCTAATTCCCTTAAAATCATATAATCTAGATATCATTACACTTCAAGAAACAAACTTCAATGACACAAACTCCAGAAATTTCTTAGCTCAGCAATAGAATTTCGACTCTTTTTGGTCTTCAAAAGTAGCAATTCTAGCTGGCAACAAACAAACCAAAATAATTAAAGCAAGAACCTCTTTTGATGATCGAGTAATCCAAGCAAAAATTTCTTATAAAAATAATATCTTTTTGGTCACCAACATATATGCACCTCCAAACCTAAAAAACAGAATTAATTTCTTCAATAGCTGGTCTCCAGTGATCGATAAAAACTATATAAATCTTATAACAGGGGATTTTAATGTAAATTTAAACCCTAACAGAGACCGAATAAGCCAAGCACTAATACAAAATAACCCTTCAAGAGAGCTAGTCAAGAATCTAATGATAGATTTCACTGACATAGCAGAAACTTCAACAAATAACTCCTTCTTAACTTTCTATTAAAATACTAGAAATAATTACAAAATGGCCACAAGGCTTGACTACATATTCATAGACTCAAATTATAGCTTCTTAAAAAAAGAAACACAAACACAGTTCAGCAACTCAGACCACCTTCTCGTCGAATATATCATCAGTTTCAACTCAACCTCTGCATGCACTTCCTTATGGAGATTCAACCCAAAATCTCTTTCTAACCTAGAAACTAGAGATGAAGTCCTTAAAGAACTTCAGGGAATTGAAAACCTTGATAAATGGGACCTGCATAAATGCATGATCTAATCAATAATTAGAGCAACCGAACAAAATCCTCCTCTAGAAAAGAAGATTCAAATTCTGCAAAGAAGACTAACAGGCATAAGCAACTGAATGGCCAGAGATCACAGACTTACAGATCTTCAACCAGCACTTGAAAAAACTAAAGCACAGCTTTAAGATGAACTACAACTTCTCTCAGAGAATTAGCAAATTAGATCTAATGCTAAATGGATCAAGGAAGGGGAAAAATCTACAAAGTACTTCTTTGCTCGATACAAAATTAGATATGCAACATCTGGCAGCTTAAAGATTAAGGATCTAAACCACTTTGGCCCACCAGATATAGCCAACACCTTATTATACATTAAATGCTACTATGAGAATATCTACAAGTCAGAAAGTATTGATCTACTAGTAGCAGAGGAACTCCTACATAATACTCCAAAAATCTCACAAAACGCAAACAGTGCTTTAATTAAAGAGATAACAGAGAAAGAAATCAAATCAATAATTGACAAACTTCCAAACAACAAATCTTCAGGCCCAGATGGGCTTACATACGAGTTTTATAAAATTCTAAAAAAAGCTTTACTCCTGATTCTTACTAAGCTCTTTAACCAGATTTTGCTAACAGGACTAATCCCACACTCTTGGAGTAAGAACCTGATTACACTTATTCTGAAGAAATCTGATAACTTAGAGAACATAAGCAACTGGAGACCAATATCTTTGGTTAATAGTGATACTAAAATTTTCATGAAGATACTAGCAAACTGACTAAATATTGCATGCAATGAAGTTATCAACTCAGCTCAACAGGTGTTTGTTTTTGGAAGATCTATTTCCGATGCTGCTTTAGATATCATAACAGTACTAAGAAACCAACTAGACCAGTCTAAGCAATACTGGCTCCTCTTTTTAGATCAACAAAAAGCATTCGACAGAGTTAGCCATTAATTTATGCAACTAGTCCTCAACAAAATGAGTTTTGAAAACAAATTTATTAAAATCGTAGCCTCACTTTTTGCTTCTCAACAAGCTTATATCCTAGACTCAGGCAACCTCTCAGAGCCCTTTAAAGTTGAACGAGGAGTAAGACAGGGAGACCCCCTTTCACCTCTACTATATGTCTTAGCAATCAATCCCTTAATCCAATCTATTCAAGAACACATTAGAGGCATAAATATCTTGAGATCAACTTTTAAAATAGCTGCTTACGCAGATGACCTTACCCTTGGAGCAGGCTCGGTTTCAGACTGGGAGACTATCTTATCTCTTATTAACAAATACGAGCTAGCATCTAACTCTAAAATTAACGAATTCAAATCAGTGCTGGTACTACTTACAGAAAACGCATGCTATGTAGAATTACAAAACCAAAATAAATTCAAGATATTCTAGCATGACTCAGACTCCATCAAGATTCTAGGATATGAAGTAGACCTGAAAGGCTCTACCAAAAAAGATCTCTGGCCCAATATCATTAAAACAATTAAAACCAAGATTGAGAACATATCTTCGAGAAACCTATCACTAAGAGGCAAAATTTTAATTACTAAATCTCTTCTAATCTCTAAAATCTGGTATGCAGCTTATCTGCTCCCATCTAGCAGAAAACAACTCAATGAAATTGACAAAATTGTTACAAACTGAATCAAGAGCAAGTCAAGACTCCTTCCTCGATACTCAATCTTTCAGCTTGAAAGCAATCAAGGAGGATTAGAAGCTCCTATTCTTAAAAACATCCTAGACTCCAAACTAACCTTCATATGGATAAAATTTCTTATCTGCAACTGCCTCTGGGCAAGAGTAGAGAGAGACCTAATAACAAGTAAGATGCGTATACTAAGAAACATATCAGTACTCACCACTCTCTCTCAAGTAATAATAAAAACAAAAAAATAGCCAGAAAGATGGAAACCCTATCTAGTAGCTTAGAAGAGGCTTAAAGTCAAAATCACAGCAAATACTAACTGGCCATAGTCTCTTGAAAACCTAGAAATTGACAATTTCACAGGAGAGGAATTCACAGTCAAAAAAGCTATGAAACTACTTCTTTTACTTTATCCTTCGAGAAGAGATACCCATGCCCAAGTAAACTCTAATACCAGCCTGAACAGCAGTTTATGGGTAAAAACAAAATTCATCTTAAATCAGAAAATAGATATATTTTAGCAGCTTGCTTACAAAGCACTGCCTCTTGGCTACTGCCTAAGACACATCTCTCAAGAAGACCCAAGATCCTGCTCTAACTGCCAAAACACTTTACAGACTATAGAACACTTTGCTCTTAACTGTGAAATCAGTAAAGCAATTTGGAAAATTAGCTATGACATACTGAAGAGACCTGACAATGAAGAAAAGAGTGGTTAAGAGGTATTTTGTGTGAAGAAGATGCTGAAAGAATCAAAAATACTATCGAATCTGAAAGTATGACAACCAGATTCTGGAGCCTGTTCTGGAATATCTGGATAAAACTAGTATATAAGGAAGTTTGAAAAAGCCGATGCAAAGATATGGAAACTTGGGAGAAAAGAGAAAAAATCTCCAAGAAAGAAAAATACGCTCAGAAAGAAAAGGGAAAAAATGTTTTAAAAGAAAGGTCGTCAAGAAAAAAAACAAACTGCAAAATAGATGAGAATACAGAAAGTTGTAATATTAGTCTTAAAATAGCGATAGATAGTATAGCAAGGGAAGTAAAGGAGGGAATTTTAATTAACTGGATATAAAATTAGTCATGATGGGCTGTAGCGTCCTTCCTATATTTTCTTGTAGTCTATTGTTTTTTAGCTACTTAAGTATAGGACAAAGGTTACTATAGCAGATCACACATAGGTATCTTCGGGATAACCGGGTGAGTCAGGGCTTAAAAAATTAGTCATTAGATAGTATATAACTAGATAATATTGTTTTCAAATAGAAAGCAAATCTAAATAAAGTCTTGGCATGACTGCTGAATTTAAAAAAAAAAATAAGTGAAAATAATCAATATCAGACTAATTTAGAAATTGAAAAGCTAAACAGCAAGTATAAACTACAAATTAATACACTAGTTGAAGAAAGATGGTCTAGTGAAATAGCAACAGAATTTAAAAAATAGTAGAAGATTCTAAATCTCAAAGTATAGCAAGAAAGAAAAAAAGAGAAGACAAGTGAAATCAATAAGTATATCAATATGTGATGTGAAGCAATACAAGGTAAACTAAAATCTATACTTAATAGTCTACTAGAAAGACTATCAAGAAAGATAAAAGTAAATAAAATAATAAAAACTTTAGGAGATGAGAAGATCCTACTAACAGAAGAGAAAGAAGTTCTAAGTGAAATAAGATCTTATTTTATAAAGCAATTCTGAAAAAGAAATATCAACGAGAATAGCTTATTAGCAAAATAGATAAAAGTATATAGTCTAATAAAAAAAATAGATACTAAAATCTAAAAAAACCTCTCAGAAAAAGTAACAGAGAAGAATTGGTCTAATACTTTAAACAAAACAAAAAACAAGTTAGTACTTGGCATCTCAGGAATTAGCTACCCTTTAATTAAAAAAGCAAGACAGATAGCACAAAAGGTATTCAGACTCCTAGCAGATCAGTATATAACAAAAGAAGATATTCCTGTGAAATAGAAAGTAGGTCAACTTTACCTAATTTCAAAAAATAAAGATTAGAATTATAATCTGATAAACGTAAGACCTATTGTACTATTAGAAGCATTCTATAAAACAGTAGTAAGAATTATTATATAAAGATTAGATTATATACTTGTTAAACATAGTATATTAGAAGGCTCAAACTTTGCAGATCTGTCAGATGATAGTATATCAAGCCTAATTTATATTATAAACAATCTGCTAGAAGACATAAGACAAAAAAACAATAAGATATAGATTCTCTTTTAGGATATGAAAAAAGCTTTTGATTTAGTAAGCTTAACAATGATAGAAAAAGCATTAAAGAGAATCAGAATATCTGATCTAACAACTAAGTTTCTTCTTAAATTATATAATAAGTGAAAGATTAAAGTTATTACTGATTATAGTCTAACTAAGGAGTTTGAAGCAGAAGATAGATTAGATCAAGAAGAAGTTGTTTCACCTCTCATATAGCAAATATTCTATGATCTACTATTATACTTAATTA